CAGCCCAGCACTTGCTGCCAATCAAACCCCAGAAGCAGAGCCTGCCTGTGCTCCTCGCCTCCTGCAAGTACGCAGCCAGGATTATTTTACTTCTCATAGGCCTGTATCTCCCCTAAGCAAGTCTAGCCAGCCCTCAGGGAAGGCATCACAATAAAGCAAGTTCTGGACATGATTTTTTTAGGGGAGGATTAGCCAGGAAACAGCAAGACTTCCTTACACCGGTCCAGAGCTGGACAACAGTTCTCAGACACTTCAGCAGCAAACACCTGGTCAAGACTAAAAGAGGAGGAAACAGGACCATGCTGGGGATGGTGCTCAGTGTCAGGAGCAATATTCACCTCCCAAGTAGAAAAGAGATTAACAGGAAGACACAAAAGAAAAGGCAGCAGCAAACTGGGGGAGCAGGCACAGTGCATCTGTGATCTTCATGTGCTGCTCAGACATCTTCCACAAGCTCTGTGGGCTTCTGTGGTTTATATAGTAAAAAAAAGCATAAAGACATATCACTGCTCCAGTGCTCCTTAATTAGGAGGGTCTAAAGAAGTGTGAGGGGCAACAGGATATGGGAAGATTTTGAAATGATGATGTGCTCTGTGGAGATCAACAGCAACAATCATGCCAATTCAGGTTAGGAAATAACCTCCTTTAGGTCCAGCCACCCTTCTTTACAGTCAGGTTTATTTTGTATCCAGCAGCTTACTGGGCTTGGTCTTTTATTCCTTCACAGGCTGATGCAAGAGGGGCTGCAACGGCCATCAGCACATCAGCACTCATTTTGGTAGGAATTCCTAGTGCTTCAGTGTGAAGTCTCTGGTTGCTAGAGGTCTGCATGGAAAAAGTTCCCAAATATCATATACTGAGCAGAAAAAAAAAGGGGCTGACAAATGAAATCAGCCCCCACATTCACGATACAGGAACCGACTGCAGAAAACAGGAGAGTTATGGGACAAGAACCTGAAGTCTTCACTGGGAGTCACCACACTGTGAAAGAGAGACAAGCCTGTCCATCTAAGGTGCGTGTCAACTCCCCTCCCAGCACCGCTCACTTAGCACAAGGTGAGAAAACCCCAAGCTGACCCGAGGGAACAGCGCTGCTTGGAGAATGGTATTTTCCAAGGAAAATCTTACCCAAACCAGTGAGAAGAGTCCTTGGAGAATCGTGCGGGAAAGTCGAACTTTCATTCTGTGTAACATATAATCACTGTCAATCCCACCCCCGGGAAAAATTTCCTTCAGCTCACATTTGTGCACAGGCTTCAGCTCCTGCCCAGATCAGGGAAGAAATCAAAGATGGCCTGTGAGCAGGTGCACCTCCGTGCCGGGAGGACACTGCGGTTTCAGGCATTAAACTCGCTTCCCAGTGCCTGCAAGCCCCATTACCCCGGCCAAGACGGAAACGTACATGTGTTTGGGCCCCAAAACATTAAAGATACCATCAATCACCGATTTCCACTTGCTTGTATAGATCCCCATTTAATGACCTTTCCATGTTTTCCTCTCCCATGTCTGTTACTTATATATGAGTAACCCAGACAGATGAGGGACTCGAAGGGCAGCATCTCTTCTGCAGAGGGCTCTCCCTAAAATAACAGGAGAGTTATTACTCTCCAGATAAAACCAAGAAGCAGCACAGAGATAACATTAACAAAGATGTTTGGTGAGCATGTTTTTCCTTTATATCCAACCTGTCCCATAATTCAGAAAATATATTACAAATTAGCAGGAAGAGAGCAAAGCTCAGACTCTTCTATTTTAGAAGGAAAGCGGGATGCAAACTTGGCGATCATATAACTTGTTAAGAAAATTAGCTGTGTTTCCCTAAATTTGGCATCAGGGATTGTCGATTCTTTCTATAATCAGCATCATGACTGTGAAGAAGCATTTCAGAAGCTAAGAAGCATCAAGACCACAGGAGTCAGCCTCCACCCATCGGGGACAAAGGGGCTATGCTGACATTTGGTGAAAATGTCACTGGGGATAAATGGACCAAATAATACATTCACAATGATGTTCCTGAAAAAAAAAAAAACAAACCAACAAACCCAGACCAAAAAAAGAACAAAAAAACCCTACCCCCAAAACACACACACACAGACACACCCCTCACATCCACAACCTCCCCCAAGCCCTGCAAGGTCTAACTTGCATTGAAGGTAACTTGCATATTGGACTTCACCAGGTGAGGAGATTAACAGCTCACCTCATGGGATCTAATCCAGCAAGACAGGGAACACTCTCAGCTCCTCCTGAATCATTGCACAGGGGTCCTGCAGGGACTGGGACCCCTCGGGTCACCCACACAGGTCCCCACGACAGTTCTGAAAGGCCAGCCAGTGCTGTATTACTGCACTCACAAATCTTTAACAACTTAGACCTTTGCTGCCCTCCAAAATATAATGAAGAAACCACGCAGGCCAGCTACTAAAGTGCTTATCATTCTGTGCTTAAAGGAGAGGACAGGAAATTTGTACTAAAATGTAGATGGAGATTTCTGACAGGTTAGCAGCCTTCAACTGCATTCTCTAAACAGTTGGTTAAAATACTTGAAACCTACTGTAAAACCATCTCTCAATAGTGGCTGGCATGTTAAGTTATAAGCGCTGCTTTAAACTTGTAGGAATCCTTCCTCAGGTAGAGAGAGGCTGCCCTCAGGACTGTGACCCCCACACCCATCCCACAGCTGGGGGACACACAGCTCCAGACCGCTCGAGCGCAGATGTTACTGGGACCTTCTCTAGCCAACTCTGAAAGATCTCAATTTTAACCAAGTCATCGTGATGTCCAAATGAGAAACGGGGAAGCATCAAGAACAACTTACTTCCTCACAAAAATTTAATACCCAAACCACCCTTAATTTCTCATCCAAAAAAGTCTCAACAGAACTGTTCTCACTAGACCAACGAGGTCCCCTTCACAGCTGTTGGATGAACTGCATGGAGACCCACATGTCATCATCTGTGATGTCCCCAAGGAGCTCTGCACAGAGCCAGCACCAAGTCACAGGCCATCTCGTGCAGAAGGGACACGGAGCAGCGAGTACTGGCACAGACCCAGCCCTGGTGCAGGGGGGATGGTGCCTCTGCATAGCCCAAGTCTGAGTGGTGCCAGCCCTGAGGCTCCCAACCACTTCGCTGGGCCCTGACGCTGCAGCAGAGACCATGCACAGACTTACAAACCGCCTGTTGGTTTAAAGCAGGTCATTTATAAGGATTGTCTTCTATTATTCTCTCCCCAAACCATACACCGTGCTTCACTTGGCTACCACACTTCCCTCCCAACATCATTTTCCCACAAACAGTACCAAGCTTTGCAGATGCTCCCATTTTCACTCCTTTCCTCAGCAGTTTTGCTAAGAACCATTCCAGCTTTTTTTCTAATAGCAACTTCTCAGCTGTCCCAGGAAAAAGACTCCACAAAACAGATCACAAGAGCCAAAATAATTTTGCATTTACCTCCTTAAGCACAACGGCTTGTCTGCCATGAGTGTCCTGACATACTGTGTTCAGTCCAACATGGAGATCTCCCCATTAGCTCCATCTCCTGCTCTCATCCCAGGGACAGTCAGACAGACCCTCTCTACAAGTCAGGCTTCCTAAAAGACTGATTTCTATAATTTAAAGTTAAGCTGCAATTACAGATGCATCCCGGAGCCTCCATCCCAGGGTATGGCAGGAGCAGCATGGTAGGATACGAGAGCAGCAGCATCCACCTGAACCCCCATCAAAAGCCTTATGGCATTTTAAAAGCATTAAAAATGTGACTTTGTCCCATAAACCATTACTGAATATTTTCAATCAGCAGTTGCATTAAAATCTATAGTATTATCTACACATGCAGATATTGTACAGGGTCACAGAAAACTGTGCTGGAGCAGACCTTCAGGCATCATTTTATCCATCAGCAGGACCCAATCTAGTTAATTAGTAATGAGCAAGAACTGCAGCTTTAGGAAGCTGAGCGAAATCTGGCAATGCTACACAATAGCTATGGCAAAGAAATGAACCGAAACATCAAAGAGTGGGCTTTGAAATACCACTTCCACAACACCTATGAAAAAGCAGAATTTTCTGCTCTTTCAAGCCGAGTTTGCTGAACTGTCATGGGCTGGGAAATCGCCCTTAGATGTAACAAGCATACAACATGTGTTTTCCAAGAATATCTACTGCGATAACACATTCTCCACTAACAAAGTGGTCTTGAAAACAGGTAATAGGAAGGTTAACACAAAAAAAGGTTTGTCTTTGTTTTATTTTTTAAGAGCGGGAGGATAATTAAGAGCTTACTGAGCTTGACTACACGTTCAAGCACTTTAAGAGCTGGAGTGAGAGAGGATTTTAGAGCAAATGGACATAGGAATGTCCATCCACCTGCAATCTCTTTCTATAGTGATGACCCTTAGCTTAAAGTTTTGGGATATTCTGCAATATCCACAATGTAGATTGAGATGACAGGATAACGCCCCTGCCACACCTTTATTTTAACAAAGATGTGTCAGTTCCTGATGTATTCTTTTAAAAGCTACTTGGGAATTTCCACTGGCATAGGGACAGTAACACAGCAATTGTTCTCTTTGAAAACATGGAGCAGAGAATGACATTTCAGCAAAGTATACACAAAGAAAAAATAACAGGGTAAAGCTCCTGGTTCCTGGGAATTACCCATTGGATTCCCAACCATCTTATCAAAAAGTCACAATGCCCAAGCCTCAAACTTCACTTTTATTCTTTTTCAAGTGCCAATCACAAGAGTAGCACCAGCATATCAACACAGTTATTATTACTCCCATGTTTGTCCTCCTTAAAATAAATACCAATAGTAAGTTGAAAGATTCTGCAAACCAGAACATGAAGCATTTCCTGCTACATGTTCCTTCCTTGTAACCAAAAAAGTTCCTACACCAGAGGACGTCAATGTGTTGGACCAGGAGCTGGTTTTCTGCTAGGATGAAACACTCCTTTTGCTGCTACCTCAAAAAAGCAAAAAGGTGAAGTCCCACTTACCGCTCCAAGCATGATCCTGAAAATCAGCCACCGAAAGCTCCAGATGATGATGCTGGAAGGAGGCGTGTGCCGGGGCAGGCGGGAGAGTGTCCAGAGTGGGCAGAGGAATATCCCCAGGAACCCCGTTTCCAGGAGCTGCGATTCCCATCCTGTAGTGCCAACACGTGAGAAATGAAAAAGAAAATAGTTATTGTGCAAGTCCTCTAAGTTACCCTTTCACAAATTTTAAACATCCAAGAAGAAGAAAAAAAAAACCAACCTTGTAATGCTTTTTAAGCTTAACTTGGGGGAACTTAGGTACCAACTCTGTCCTAGCACACACATCACACACTGGGAATTCAGATGCTTTAAGCTGATGATGTGAATGATGAGCATTTGGATTTGGTGCATTGGGTTGTGGTGCTCTCCAAGCATGCACACTGACACTTCTGTTGTTTACATGGTTATTTTATACAGTGTGAAGCAAGAGAAAAAATAAGAACATATATGAAGCAAAGAAAAATGTGATTTAAGTGCCCTGAGAATTCACAAGGTGACCCAAGCACACAACTGATCAGTGCTGCTGATTCCTGCAGACCATGGACCAACCGAGCGATTGCAAATTGTCCTGCTGACTGCTGGATTTGTGCCAAAACGGGGCAGTCTATATCTTCAAAAGACAATGATTAGAAATCACATGAAGTCTTATTCATCATCAACATTAATGTGCAAACCAGAAGCTTTGAATTTTTAATTGCAAAGGAAAGTCATAATGAAAAAAGTCCAAATTGTCCATCAAGACAGTTTTACGCATTGACAGATTTAGTGAAATTACTCTAGACTGAATCCCAGTAGAGCCAAGATCAAAGCACAGTCTTGTAACCACACAGTGAACCTGTTACCTGCGATACCGGGCACTTTGGAGAGGACAGACTATAACCTACTTCATGCAAATCTGCATTTTGCATTTTCTTTTTCCAGCACAGCATAGAGCTAAAATATTGAAATGATTATTCCGGAAGAGCCAGAACACAGCAGTTCTGTTTTGACAGGTGAAGTCCAACCTCCACTACATTTTTAAGTAACAACATACTGATGCCAAAACCAAATTACTCCAACTTTGTCCTACCTTTAATTACACACTCTTACATTCAAATATTTCTGTCAAACAACTATTAAAAAAAAAATCTCCATTCTCCCTCATACATCCTGTGGTTTCTAGAACAGATACCCCAACTGCCAAAATTAGCACTTCTGAGAGGAGAAGCGAAGTATATTGTTATAAAAGCAGCTGCACCAGGAAAGCAATGGCTAATACAAAATGTGAAAGGTTAATTGTTACTAAACCCAGCCACAAATAGCAGTTATGGGTCTCACTGGCACCAAAATGGTAGTATATCTCCTTAGTTTCTGCCTGCACAAGAATCCCACTGTTATCAGCGTTTTCATATGTTAATCACTGTGTTCCCCTGCAGACATATAGGATCCTGGCTGGATGGCTGAGCAGGAAGGCGTGCGCCTCTGCCTCTATATCTCCAAACGGCCTTTCGATCCCTACGTACACACTTCCCTCCTAGAGCAGCATCGCCTCTCACCGAGCAGGACACGCTGGCATTTTTTAAAAATTTTATTTTTAAACCCAACTCCTAGGGAGGTGTTTGCATGTGTGGAGGGACAGGGCACGCAAGGACTGCGCCATCCCACGGGACGCATTTTGAGGCGTTAAGTTTTTGGGCGTTAAATGGGTTACACGAGCGTGCATCCAGCACCCAGGGACATGTGAGTGAGCGTGCGTGTGTCCCAAGTGAACCCGAAGCCTTCCTGGTATGTGCTGGCCTCCAAGGATCATGAGTTCAGCCTGCACCTGTGCTTCTTGTTCCAAAACGACAAGTTTGAATCCTGGCACCATCACCACCACCCGGCTGCGAGTCCAACAGCATAATCCACTGCGAACTGTGCCAGCAAGGGGGACAGCTCAGCGCCACGGCGGGAGGGGGGGACCGGAGCAAGCAGTGCTGCCAGCTGTTGGGAGAAACCTCTTAAATTACCCGCTGCTGACAACGGGGGCTGGCAGCGGGTGCAGCTAAACCGGCACCAAACAGGGTTTAACTGCAAGTGCAGCCAAGGACAAACTGCGGTCACAGCATCGTTTCAGAAGTCTTCATCTAAACTTCCTCAGCTTGCGGCTAAATCCTGTCCAGCTCCAGCTGCTCTGCACCCATCCACAGCAACAGGCAAATTTGCTCGTGCAGATGAAGCACACTGTGCTGTACTTTGCTCTGCTACTGACCTTCATAGCAAATCACAGCAAGTTCCTGCTAGAAACCAAGTTTAAGATGCAGACATGCACGGACAGCCTCTGATTTGTTAACAACCCTCTTCCTGGTGGACTGAGTCTCTGCAGCTGGTAATGTGGTCATGCAGATCAATTTTCCGGACTCGCACACGTCACACAAACAGTCACACACCCTGGCCTCGGCAGCAGAAGCTCCTTCCCCAGCCCCCATCCACCCTCCTTCCACCCTGAGCAGCTCCTCACCCTGGACCCTTCCCTGCAGCAGCCTCCCTGCTCCCGGGAGCTGCCAAAGCTGTCACCGCTTTCCCCTTCCCCAGTGAGCATAGATCTCATCCTGACTCTAATTTGTTAGTCCTGTTACAGGCTCCATCATCTGCAAACAGTTAAGCCTTGATGCTTGATCCTACCCCACAAGCAACACAAGCGCTTGTGATGGTAGGATTATCCAAGATGCGTGCTTCACGTTTTCTACTAAAAATTACAGATAAATGATGAAGACTTTCAAGGACGTGAACATGTCGTTGAACATCTCAACTGTATCCACAGTATAGCACAGAAGGGGTGAGCTCTGCTCCGTATCACATTCATTTTATTGTAAGTTGATATTAGAAAGCAAGATTACAAGATCCATCAACAGAAACCTTGCGTTTCTAACTGCTGACTTAGAAACAGTTGTTCATATCTACCCCTTAAAAGCCTCAGACTCAAAATCCCTTGCAATCTTAGACAGGTTCGAAGTTGTAACCATGTGTCTGCCCCACGCTGCTGAAGTCTGAGCACTGCCACCCTTTAAGACCACTTCTGAAGCTCACAAAACCCAAATGCACTGTGATACCTACAAGGAATCAACCAAGTCACTAGACCTTGGCAGGGAAGACCTTAGGAACAACTAGTACTAAGCTGACCCGTGCAGCTAATAACAACATTTTTCTCCATATCCTTATCCTCCTCCTCATGCTATCAAGTGGGCAGGGTTGATGGTATGTGTTTGGCAAAGGAGCTCAACACAACCACATCCTCCATCTCCACTAAACATGGGAACCATGCACTGAACCCTGCTCCAAGCTGCAAAAATTCCACCCTTGACATTTTTTAGGACAGTTCTACCGCTGCAAAAATGTAAGACATGAAGGAAGTCATCTCTGTGACCTGGCAGGACCTAGAGAGTGAATTAAATTATTTCCCACTCTGGGGCTGTGAGAGGGGAGGGCAGGTGCTGGGCATTGGGAGCTGGCGGGGCAGCCATGGAACATCTCATAAACTGAGAAACTAGCGGGAATCAAAGCACCGGTAATGGAGTAAAGATCTCTTCCCTCTAGCAATGCTTAACACGTACAGCCATGTTTCTCAATCCTAACATTTTTGGAGAACCCATTTTATAAATGGCAGCAAACCCTGTGACCTTTAGAGGCATCGGGGCTATCTCAGAAAGGTGGCTCCCCTCCTCAATGCGCCAACCAACACATCCTTAGTGCCAGGGCTAAACTTGGGGCTCACCTCCACCCCAGTCCCTGTGGCCCCAGCGCACACTGATACTGCTGGGAACGAAAGGGTCATGTTGTTGACCCACCTGCTCCTGTTTTCTTCAGTTGGATCTAGTCAAATTTCAGCAGCTGCAGAGCAGCACAAAGCGCCCTATTGTTATCTCCCGCGCAGCCGGAGAGGGAGCCACGGGGAGGGTTTTTTGGGAAAAAAAAAAATTTGAAATAAAATAAACTGCCAATGGCGGCTGCACTTGCCCCACACGCGTTTCGAATGTTTGTTACATTCTCCAAACTTGATGCGGCAAAATCCATAGCTTGGCATTTTCCAGAGGTCTCTGCTGGGGCAGAGGAGGAGGCAAAGCAGGGAGGATGTGCCGGGGGGGGAGCAGGAAGGACAGGTCAGGGGAGGAAGCAAAAAGAAAATCAACAACAGCTTTCCCATATTCCTTTTAGGGTCTTCAAATGTTTTTCTTCTTTAAAATTATATAAATCTATAGTTTATATTTTCAGCTAGGAAATTTAGCTCAACATTGAGTCATCTCTGGAGTCTAAAACCATTTGCTGCTTGGAAGAGGAACTGCGAAAGCAGGCACTGCGCCGCCTCGCCGAGTCCTTCGGCAGAGACCGTACGTGCTGGCAGGAACATCTCATGTGCTGTAGAAAACATTACTGGTGCTTAACATTAAAAAAAAAAAAAAAAAAG